ATCCTAACGTTCCTATACCTCAAGGATCTTCTAGTCTTTTGCTTGTTATGGTATTAGTTCTATTATTTTTCAGGAACATGCTTCACCCGTTTCTGAATTGTGTACACCAGCATTAAGTGCTGTTTCAAAACCAGAGCCCCCAAGTACCTCTAAAAGGCCTTTCTCACAATGCGACCCATCTTCTAATGCTCTAACTGAAGTGAATGGGAAGCTGATGATGGTTATATGTCCCGTTTGCAACCACCACTTAAAAGTAAAGGACGAGGACGAAGTAATTTTTACTGTTACACTTACACTCTTTTTTGCAGTTTAATTTGCATTTAGATGACTGTCTCAGTCGACAAGCAGTTTCTGAAGCCGTTCGTCAGACATATTTAAGTGAAACGAATACTACTACTGAAATGGCAAATCAAAGTAGTTCGAATATTAAACAGAACTTTCCTTCACCTGCATCGACTCGCCAAAGGTAATTGGCATTGTTATTTTATATTCTAGGTCTTCCTCTTTCCAAAGACGATTGCCTCGAAAACGAAAGTCCAATGGGCCTCTTGATAGATACTTGCGACTGCTATGATCAAATGAGGAGAAAACATGTAGCCCCCTAATAATTTTTTTCTACCTCGGGCTTTATTCGACTAGCCCTTGGCCACAATGTTTTCCTAATGTACATATTTATTTAATATGAAGATACTTCCTTGTCTACACTTCATATTCTTCCCTAGAAATTTAAATTGATGGGAGAAATATTGGGTTTTCGTATTTATGGGAGCAAAGATGCAGATTAATACGTGATATTAAGACGTTTATAATATAAAACGGAAATCCGCTTTACACATCAAAGACCTATCCATCCTTTAGTTTACTCGGCACTACCTATGTCTGTTACTATCACTTTAGCTAGCTGATCCGAAACAAGAGGTCCTGGTCGTGTGAACTGGCTTGATTAAAACCTACTTAAAGAAAATGAGCGGTAATCTGTCTTTGATACTTTTTGGTCACTCATTGTAAATCTTGATGGATCTTAGCTTAACAGCCCATTCGGACCAACATTTAGTCAATATACGTAGACTTGGCCATTTATGGATACGAGTAGACGCAAATCGCTTCTAGTGTACATAGCTTGACTTTCCTTCTACCTTAGATCGGAAACCCTGCCAAAGCAAGGAAAACAGGCTACATCGCGTACTTTGTTGTTGATGGAGGGCCGGGTTTACTATTATTATTGGATCCGCAAAGACCCTTTAGAGATGATGAATTCACTCATCCTCATTCTAAAACTATCACAATGCTGTCTTTTCTTTCGTCGACTTCACTAAGGCGGAAAGCATGCATCCACAGTCCTTCACTATGTCAATCTGCTAAGCAAAATGTAAATCAAAAGAATCAGCGTGCTATAATTGGCAAGCCTATTAATATGTATTTATATGTGTTTATGCTTTTGTGTGCATTTTTACAATTTGAATGGATATTTATGGTTAAAATTTCTTCCATTTTCATTTTTATTCAAACTTCTCTGGATTACACATCTGGACTTTATTTTGGCCCTTCTAGTATACACGTTTACTCATACATTCATGCGCATTTTTATGATAA